TGGAGCTTGATTTTCGAATACCATCGGAGAGTTTTTCCTTGAATATGGGGGCAAAAGGCTTCCATATGGCCTATTCTTCTGCATCTAAAACAAATAACATGGAGACATTTAGATTCAACTCTGAATATTCTCGAATCCAGTTTATATTGAGAGATCAGAGGTTTGCTAAGATCTCTCTCCATACACACTCTAGCAAACTTACCTCTCTCTGAGGTCGCAGTCTTTATATCTACCTTAATCGGCTTACCTAAAGCCTTAGCTATTTGAAATAGGGTTTTTTCATCATAATATTCTAGTGGTAACTCTAGTAACCTTACCCATATACCCGTGGTAATCTCAGAGGCCCTTGATGNAATCCCCAGCCATCATCCACAAACTTCTATAGTTATCTCCAGTGCAGGTAAGTTCATCCCACAATTGATCCCCACAGGCAGCGTTGGGACTACCATAGACAACAGAGAACAACCATTCATCAAGTCAATTCTAGCAATAGTAGAGTGAATAACTTGCTTAGACGTGCCCTTCGTGGTGATAGAAATATTAGATGGATCCCAAAGAAGCCAAATACCCCCCCACTCTTCCTTCCGAGTCCATAAACTCAGAAGCAATAAGCCCATACTGTTCGAAAAAATTCCCCATCTGGTTACTTTGGATTTTTGTCTCTAGAAGCACAACCACATCTGGTTTGTGGGCCCTAAAAAGATTGTTGAACACCCTTTTGAACCTCTCATTGCCTGCTCCCCTATAGTTCCAAACAAGAATTTTCATGGATGACATCATTAAATAATTGGGGAGAGGCGTGAATTTTTCAATATCCAGTTTGTGCCTTGCTAACTCGCTAACCTTCTCGATTTAGATTGCTAGTCTTAGTGAGATAACAGTAGTCTAGATCTTCACTTCTCTAAGCTTGCACAGTTCCACCACAAGTAAGGTTGATTCCACTAACTAGTGGACTAGAACAATCCATTTGCTCTCCTCTTTCAGATGGAAGAGTAATCCCATCAAATTGTCTTGGAGGTGATAGGTCTTCAATAGGGGACTTTCTATTATTTCTTTCTCTTTTACTCACACCTGGGTCTAGGGGTTTTGGGTTGAGAAGGTCTGTGTCTAGTATATTCAAGTGTTCTGTGGAGAAGAAGGGTTGAGGATATTGAGGGAGTGAATGAAGAATAGTTTCAAAGCTACTAAGTAGGAGCATATAGTCATTCATGACCTATCGCCCTACTCTATCTCCATAATCCCTCACCTGGACTTCCAGATCCATTGGATTGGAGTTAGGTTCCAAGGCAAGGATTTTTTCTTGGGGGTTGTGTGTGATGGGTCGGGTCCTATTCAAATTTGAAAGTTGCTCCCAGTTCCTTCTAGAATCGATCTGTAGACCTTTCTTAGGACCTGGGTAATGTCTTTGGGTTGGATTACCTTGTTCAAGGCCCATATATTGGACTTGGGTTGCCTCTTGGTTTTGGTTTTTAAGGGCCTGGAATCTGTTGGAGTGGCCCATCCCTTTTTGGGGTAATTGGTTTCTAAAACCTTGTATTCTTTTCCTTCTAGGTTGGGCTAATAACCAAGGCCCAAACTTAGCCACACCTTTCAACCCATTGGACCTCACTTGGGTTGAGTCCAAGCTGTCTTGTGACCGTTGCAGTAATCTAGAGGTAACGACTCTTTCCATCTACTTGTCTTCTCTAGCTGGAGCTTGATTTTCGAATACCATCGGAGAGTTTTTCCTTGAATATAGGGGCAAAAGGCTTCCATATGGCCTATTCTTCTGCATCTAAAACAAATAACATGGAGACATTCAGATTCAACTCTGAATATTCTCAAACCCAGTTTATATTGAGAGATCAGAGGTTTGCTAAGATCTCTCTCCATACACACTCTAGCAAACTTACCTCTCTTTGAGGTCGCAGTCTTTATATCTACCTTAATCGGCTTACCTAAAGCCTTAGCTATTTGAAATAGGGTTTTTTCATCATAATATTCTAGTGGTAACTCTAGTAACCTTACCCATATACCCGTGGTAATCTCAGAGGCCCTTGATGGGATAAAATCTGGTTCCCATTTCCTGACTATAAGGTAGTGATTCATAATGATCCATGAGCCTCTTGTTGAGACCTTGAAACAATCTTCTTTGGATTGAAATTTGAACAAGAAGAAACCATTGTCCAGGTCAACTGCCTCAAAATCATTTTGCAAAGCCCAAATGTTTCTGAACTTCATGCACAACATCTTGTATCCAATGTTTTTACCAAGAAGTTTAACAAGCAACCCATCTTTCCATCTATTCCAAATATGATCAAGGGTTCTTTGTGAAAGTCTAATATGGGGGTAGGATTCATATGAGGTGTCAATAATAACCTGTTTGGACATCCCAGGTTGACCGTTTTCTCCATCCTCTGCTTGGCCCTTGCTATAAGCGGCTTCATCAAAATAAATGACGTTTTTATCATCCAGCAATGCGGCCATGTAGTTTCTTGGCTTAGGACCAGGAGGGGTCGCTGGTACATCAATCATCACTTGTTCTTCTTCCTCCAATCGATTGGATAATAGTTATGCTCTCATCACATCATCCTATGGAGCTATATGATACTCTTTAATCTTCTTAGTACTCCGTTCAAGATGATCATCTTCCTCCGATGATCGGAGCAATGGGATCCTTGGATCCTCATCCATGAGACTGGCGAGCTTAGGGAAGATGGGAGGACGGTCAGTCATAGAGCTCTGGCCACCCCTTTCTCAGAACGCTTTTAGAGAGAGAAAGTCTAGTTTTTTTAACATTTTTTGGGAGATCTAAACTAAATACTCTATTTTTTTTTTTTTNAGTCCAAGCTGTCTTGTGACCGTTGCAGTAATCTAGAGGTAACGACTCTTTCCATCTACTTGTCTTCTCTAGCTGGAGCTTGATTTTCGAATACCATCGGAGAGTTTTTCCTTGAATATAGGGGCAAAAGGCTTCCATATGGCCTATTCTTCTGCATCTAAAACAAATAACATGGAGACATTTAGATTCAACTCTGAATATTCTCAAACCCAGTTTATATTGAGAGATCAGAGGTTTGCTAAGATCTCTCTCCATACACACTCTAGCAAACTTACCTCTCTTTGAGGTCGCAGTCTTTATATCTACCTTAATCGGCTTACCTAAAGCCTTAGCTATTTGAAATAGGGTTTTTTCATCATAATATTCTAGTGGTAACTCTAGTAACCTTACCCATATACCCGTGGTAATCTCAGAGGCCCTTGATGGGATAAAATCTGGTTCCCATTTCCTGACTATAAGGTAGTGATTCATAATGATCCATGAGCCTCTTGTTGAGACCTTGAAACAATCTTCTTTGGATTGAAATTTGAACAAGAAGAAACCATTGTCCAGGTCAACTGCCTCAAAATCATTTTGCAAAGCCCAAATGTTTCTGAACTTCATGCACAACATCTTGTATCCAATGTTTTTACCAAGAAGTTTAACAAGCAACCCATCTTTCCATCTATTCCAAATATGATCAAGGGTTCTTTGTGAAAGTCTAATATGGGGGTAGGATTCATATGAGGTGTCAATAATAACCTGTTTGGACATCCCAGGTTGACCGTTTTCTCCATCCTCTGCTTGGCCCTTGCTATAAGCGGCTTCATCAAAATAAATGACGTTTTTATCATCCAGCAATGCGGCCATGTAGTTTCTTGGCTTAGGACCAGGAGGGGTCGCCGGTACATCAATCATCACTTGTTCTTCTTCCTCCAATCGATTGGATAATAGTTATGCTCTCATCACATCATCCTATGGAGCTATATGATACTCTTTAATCTTCTTAGTACTCCGTTCAAGATGATCATCTTCCTCCGATGATCGGAGCAATGGGATCCTTGGATCCTCATCCATGAGACTGGCGAGCTTAGGGAAGATGGGAGGACGGTCAGTCATAGAGCTCTGGCCACCCCTCTCTCAGAATGCTTTTAGAGAGAGAAAGTCTAGTTTTTTTAACATTTTTTGGGAGATCTAAACTAAATACTCTATTTTTTTTTTTTTGAACAAAGCTAAGTTCTCTATTGACATCGTTGAATTTTTTTGCCCCACAGGTGTGCCATTGAATGAAGGGTAATATGTAAAATTACCATTGCAATTTTATTTTAGAAGTAATCTATCCCCCAAAAATATTGAGAGGATGTCAATGTAATTTGTCTAATATTTTTTCTTAACGTGCTGAAAAGTAAAAGTGATGAAAAATAAGGTGAAAGAAATAAAAAAGAAAAATATAATTTTGGTATGAATTTGGTTAATTTAGAAGAAAAATTTTAGATAATTTGACAAAAAAATTGAAGTCTAATTAGGTATTTGGCATTTAGGTAATGGAAAATGCTATTTTTAGGTAATTGAAGGCCCATGTTGTTCCTTGTGTAGAACGACCCATCATTCCTTGTCATGTTCATAGCTAAAACTGCAATCCATAACCAAACGGTAGCCATTTATCCTCTGCACCATCCTATGTTCCGCACTTCTTAACCATATCCAAACCCCAAAGAAATACAATAAATAAAGAAAACCCACCCTCTCCCTCCCCTCTATACAGCACTGATGCACACATGGTATATCTCCTCTATCACCATCCATATCTATCTCTCGTGGCCCAGCTGGACCAAAATTTGTGTAGGAGAAAAAGGAAAAACGAAAGAAGGAAAATAGATACACAGAGAGAAGAGGAAAGGAAAGGAAGTTGTCTTCTAATGTCCTTCAACCACAAACACTTCCCTCAAATACCCCTTCTCTCTCTCCCTATTCTTCCTTATGGGCTTATTTCGGTTTCTCACACTCATTCAAAGCTCCCAAGAGAGAGAATATTCAATATCCAGAACCCTCTTTCCTTTTCTTTCTCTATATTTAAACCCGTATATTATCTCCTCTCTCTCACATTATACGCATATATACTAAAGCTTGATCTTTCTTCCTGATCTGGGTATGACTTCTGCTTGAAATTTTCGTTGATTGATATGAGAGATTGAAGAAGATGATGAAAAGGGCTTCCGTGGATTTTCATAAATCTCATGGTGTTGATGAAGAGGCTACGAGTAGACTCAAACATCAAGCCCTATTACAAGAGTTATTGAAATTGCAAAAGGTTGGTTTTTCCTTTTCATCCTCCTTTGTTATCTTTTTCTTTTGGCTATTTTTCCATATAATTGNATTGAAATTGCAAAAGGTTGGTGTTTCCTTTTCATCCTCCTTTGTTATCTTTTTCTTTTGGCTATTTTTCCATATAATTGTCGAAAGAGTTTGTAAATTTGCACATTTATTTTTTCTTCTTGGGGATTTTATCTGTATTTTTTTCTCGGGAAGTAATGAAATTAAGATGAAATCACTTCATGGGTCAAGGGTTAGTTTGCGAAGCAATAATATTTATCTCTATTNCTTGGGGATTTTATCTGTATTTTTTTCTCGGGAAGTAATGAAATTAAGCTGAAATCACTTCATGGGTCAAGGGTTAGTTTGCGAAGCAATAATATTTATCTCTATTTTTAATGGGCAGTGTCTAAAAGTAACTTGGTTTATACTCAGAATCCTTTGTTAGTTGTAAATGAAACCCAATTTGGGTTATACATTGATGCTACGGTATATTTACCCATGTTGTGCTAACAACCTGAGGATGAGGATGTGTCTTCAAATTTTAGAGCTCTCATTTTGTATTTTGTTTAAATATTTCAAAAGGTTGGCTCTTTACCAAATCTAACGTTCTCAACAGTCTGAGATCAGACTGTGTAATCATTCTTACATTTAGATACGAAAGATTTTAATTTTTTCAGGTATAGCAAAATTAGGTTTATAATGGGTTGCGATATTATGTTGAGAATTCAGTTAGTAAAGGGGACCTATCAATTTTGTTTGTTGTCGATCTTTTACAGGAATTTGTTTCAAAGAAGAGGAAATTGCAGACTGCAAAGCAAAAGAGGGATACCCTTTTGACAGAAGTCCGGTATGATTTATTGTTTTATCAGTTTGAGCTAGTTTGCAAATTCTCTGTCAAAATTTACTAGCAAATTAGAGGACAATCAGTTAAAGGGGATTTCATTCATGGTGAATTTCAGATTCCTGAGGCGACGGCAAAGATATTTGGTGAAATATCAATCTCCGAAACATGACATGGAAAAATATTTTGTTCATCAGCAAAATGCAGACATCCAAATAGGAAAGCTTGAAGGAGAAAGAAATCATAATAGTGCCCAGGAAATTTTGGTCAAGAATTCAAATAAGGTAATCTTATTAAAATGAAAAGATTTATGGAGCCTGGGATTCAATGCGCAGTGCTAATGTTTTTTGTATGTTTTATGTTGATTACTTGTTTTGTTTACAGGGACCTAAAGAGGGGGAAGGAGAAGGGGAAGAGCCAGTTTCCAGGAATGCATGGAGAGTTGGAAGGAAGCCTCAGAGTTACTTGTTTGATGACAAAAGAGTGGGCAAGAAGAAAATCTTATGGCAAGATCCAGTGACATTGAAGGTCTAAATTTCCAAATCAATCTGCTAAAGAAATACTATCTGTTATCTCTCATTACATTGACTTGTTAATTCTTATTTTTTTCCTATTTTGACTTTTCTATTATTTCTTTTGGTACTGTCCACCCGCCTTCCTTTTAAAGCCATGTAAACTGTGAAGGGATATACCATATAAGTTCAGTATACATGAAAATTTGATGTCCATCTCTCAGATCAAAGGTAGGCTTCAATTTATGTTTATCTGTTGCAGTATGAGAATTGATTTTGTGTGTGGGTTTGTTGGATGTATAATCCTACTATATGTGCAACTGAATCAAATAGATGAAGCGTGGAACCCTCTACGGCTGTTGAAATACTAATATACCGAATCACTACTATGCCCCCATCATCTTCTTCTGGTCAAAATGAATATTATCATAACTAAGCACTTCTGGAATGTGATCTGATCTGAAATCATATGGATATGGTGTGTTGTTGAAGTTGATGCTATTCATAAAGTAAAAGATGAGAAAAATATGTCTTTACTTTTGATCGATGTTAGCTTAAGTTACCAATGTCTCATCTGCACTTCTGTCCTGCTCTATCTTGCCTTAAGCAAAAATACAACAGTGATTGTGCCTCATCAACTTGATCATTGATTGATACTGAAATTGTGTAATGCTTTCAAGGCAAACTTGCTATATGGACAACCTCTAGTTGCCAACCATTGTCATGATGTAGTGCCTATAGCCTTGTAAATCTCATCTAAGTGGTGGTTTGACATCCATTAACTCTGTATAAACCTTCTATATGCACGATTTAAATTCTAGTTTGTCAATATAATTTATGTTGATATTTGATCCGTGGAATTGTAGTCAAAGTTTGTTTGATAAAACTTGTCCATAAATTCTGTGTGTTATGATTTGCCATGAAAATGAACTGCTGCTACATTTAGGATTCAGTCCACCAGCAGTATCAGATGAGAGAGTCAGGCCTTGCGTCGATCCACTCAACTTTGAACCTATAGTCTAGGCACAATAATAATATATCAAATTAAATTCTGCCCACTCTCCATTCACATGGTTCTCAAAGCAGGGGAGGAAGGGTGGGCAGAAGGTACCACGAATCCTCTTCCTTAAATTCATCTTGGTTTTCAGCATCTTCAGGCTTATTGACNAAAGATATTTGGTGAAATATCAATCTCCGAAACATGACATGGAAAAATATTTTGTTCATCAGCAAAATGCAGACATCCAAATAGGAAAGCTTGAAGGAGAAAGAAATCATAATAGTGCCCAGGAAATTTTGGTCAAGAATTCAAATAAGGTAATCTTATTAAAATGAAAAGATTTATGGAGCCTGGGATTCAATGCGCAGTGCTAATGTTTTTTGTATGTTTTATGTTGATTACTTGTTTTGTTTACAGGGACCTAAAGAGGGGGAAGGAGAAGGGGAAGAGCCAGTTTCCAGGAATGCATGGAGAGTTGGAAGGAAGCCTCAGAGTTACTTGTTTGATGACAAAAGAGTGGGCAAGAAGAAAATCTTATGGCAAGATCCAGTGACATTGAAGGTCTAAATTTCCAAATCAATCTGCTAAAGAAATACTATCTGTTATCTCTCATTACATTGACTTGTTAATTCTTATTTTTTTCCTATTTTGACTTTTCTATTATTTCTTTTGGTACTGTCCACCCGCCTTCCTTTTAAAGCCATGTAAACTGTGAAGGGATATACCATATAAGTTCAGTATACATGAAAATTTGATGTCCATCTCTCAGATCAAAGGTAGGCTTCAATTTATGTTTATCTGTTGCAGTATGAGAATTGATTTTGTGTGTGGGTTTGTTGGATGTATAATCCTACTATATGTGCAACTGAATCAAATAGATGAAGCGTGGAACCCTCTACGGCTGTTGAAATACTAATATACCGAATCACTACTATGCCCCCATCATCTTCTTCTGGTCAAAATGAATATTATCATAACTAAGCACTTCTGGAATGTGATCTGATCTGAAATCATATGGATATGGTGTGTTGTTGAAGTTGATGCTATTCATAAAGTAAAAGATGAGAAAAATATGTCTTTACTTTTGATCGATGTTAGCTTAAGTTACCAATGTCTCATCTGCACTTCTGTCCTGCTCTATCTTGCCTTAAGCAAAAATACAACAGTGATTGTGCCTCATCAACTTGATCATTGATTGATACTGAAATTGTGTAATGCTTTCAAGGCAAACTTGCTATATGGACAACCTCTAGTTGCCAACCATTGTCATGATGTAGTGCCTATAGCCTTGTAAATCTCATCTAAGTGGTGGTTTGACATCCATTAACTCTGTATAAACCTTCTATATGCACGATTTAAATTCTAGTTTGTCAATATAATTTATGTTGATATTTGATCCATGGAATTGTAGTCAAAGTTTGTTTGATAAAACTTGTCCATAAATTCTGTGTATTATGATTTGCCATGAAAATGAACTGCTGCTACATTTAGGATTCAGTCCACCAGCAGTATCAGATGAGAGAGTCAGGCCTTGCGTCGATCCACTCAACTTTGAACCTATAGTCTAGGCACAATAATAATATATCAAATTAAATTCTGCCCACTCTCCATTCACACGGTTCTCAAAGCAGGGGAGGAAGGGTGGGCAGAAGGTACCACGAATCCTCTTCCTTAAATTCATCTTGGTTTTCAGCATCTTCAGGCTTATTGACTGCGTCTTCTTTTTTTCCCTTTCTATAACTGTGCTTCTTTGTCAGCACATTGACCAAACCACAGTGTGCTACTGAAACAACTTATGCTTTTGACTGGTCAACACGTAACTCTGCCAATCATTTGCATATGTTGGCATAGTTCAATAATTTATATTTTCTTCAAAATTTTCAATTTCAGTTTTACTTTTTTATTCAAGGGTTCGAAATAAAAAAATTATGCAGTCTAATTGTTACCGAGTAATGTGGGTAGAATTCATATTTGTTAGGTTTCAGGTTTGAATTGGACTTTGTGAATTCAAATTTGCCAAATCCAAATTGATTCTTGTCCACCTTAAAACGCCAATTCAAGACCTCGATTCTTCCCCTCTACCAATATAAACCTTGAGGAAATTCTTATTGAGCAAAATGTTTTACTCCACTGTGATTTGCCCCGTTGTTCATCACTCTCCTATGGTTCAAATATGACACCATAATGTTCATTGTTTTGGGCATACTTGACTTGATGGAATTTGAGGCCTACTAAGACAAATTTGAGGTCTTTTTGTATTTAGGTACTAATTCAAATAGCATGAAACTTTTACCGGTGTGTGTAGTGTTGTAAAGTTCCATCTTAGTATAAATATAGTATTGAGACGGATCCGGATGTTGTTATGCTTCAAGAGACTCAAAGGGAGGTGGTTTGTAAACGAAATGTATCTAATATTTGTCGAGTCAGATTTAAGAATTGAGCAGTTTCTACCTTCATGTGGTTAATCAAGGGTTTTGGTCATTATCTGGGACATAAGAGTTATGTCTGCTTTAGAGGTTATTGTCGGGATTTTTGCCCTTTTTGTTCCTTGTGGTGGTTGTTGAGTTTATGGTCAGGACAGTACTAGGTTAAGGAAAGACTTTTGGAAGATTTGGCGATGCTTTATGGTTTATGTGGTCTAGGCGAGGATCGAAATATCGTGTTGAAACGCTCTAAATATAGAGAATGTTTCGGGTTTACAACACACCGACAAACATGGAAAGAAACTAGAAATTCCCACGTTTCTTTTGAAATGCCATTGTTTCGTATTGTTTTGTTCAAACCAATACCATATCGATCAAAACATATACATGATTCAACAGGTACTACAGAAAAAGGGGAAAGATTCTACCTCTTTTGTCCCCTTCTTCGGGCTGAACAAAGAAACTAATAAACAGAGAGAGAGAGAGAGAGAGAGAGAGCACTACAAAAATCGAAAAAAGGATATGGGTTTCAGCTCGCTAGAGGTTTCCAAATCCAAACCTTAGCAAGTCCAAGCCAAATTCCATTCAAGTGTCCAGATCCGGCCTCTAGGTATAGATTTATTTATGGGTTCTGTGAGCTGTGGCTTTGAGTGCATCTGTCTCTCTAATGGATCTACAGATTTGGGGACGGGGAAAGCAATGTCGTGAGGCATGTAGCTTGTCCTAGTCCTTCGTTTCCTCTCTCTCTTGGTGAGAGTAGAGTCGTCCGTCTATTTTAATCTATCTCCCCTCCCTCCCCCCCCTTTTTTTTTCTTTTTACTAATGCTATCACAGTTTGTTTTAATCCCCATCCCTTTTTTTTTCTTTTATATTGTTGTTATTTGCTAAATTGTTATAATATACTTTGTTTGTTAAATATCTACAATTAATTCAATGGTATATTAAATATCTGAAATTTAGTTGAACTGAATTCCTTATTATATCAGTTCTTTATTTCATCTTCAACTTGATGTTATATTGTATAAATGGATGTTAAGCCAATAAACATGTTTAATTAATCAATTATTAAGCTTATCTATATAAATAAGAGAATTTTAATAATGTTTTCCAATATTATCACGTGTTTCTATATTTTTTCTCTGTGTCTACCGCGATTCCAAAAATTTTTCGAAATGGTACGTCGAAACGATATTGGAGTGGAGCTGGAGAATATCCCTCCCCTGTTAGGCGACTACGTTTTCTTGTTTAAAATTCCAGGTCAGGTTTTCATTGGTATTTGTTTTTTTCTCACCCTCAACGTTTTTTTTCTTTTGAGTTCTTCCTGCATCACTCTAATTCTATATTTTTCATTTAGATATTAATATAGATTCTCATTCATTCCTTGATTCCCATAACTATGGATTGATTGTCCCCACCTAACTACATGGTAGTGGTCTAGGGAGCGCAATTGCTAGAGCATGGGAGAATGAAGAGTAATGATTTCAGGCATTATAACAACTATTGATTGAAAAGGTAGCTGTAGCTACAAAGCCAAAGAGGAAGTTTTTTTTTATTTGAAGGTTTCCGCTATACTATTAAAGATGATGGCAATTTTTATTACTAAAATAAGGAAGTTTCATCAATACCAAAAAAGTTGACTTCACTATAAAGCTAGGAAGCACGGATACTCCTCAGGGGGTCGACGTGGTGGTGTTGGACACGTGTCCAATACTTTCACAAGTGTCTTGAACAGTGAAGAAGGACGGATACGACTCAGATACGGGATGATACAGAGGGATACGACCACAACAAAGAACTTGAAACTAGAAAAAAAAAATGGGGGTGGGGGGGAGAAAGAAGACGATATACCTGATAAGCCACAGCCACAACCATAGATCTCCTCCTCTTCGAGTAGGTATGTCGTCTTCATCTTTAGGTATCTCTTCAACCTCTCGCGCTCTTTCTCGCCCACCGCCTAAGCTTTGCGACTTCGTCTGCCTAACCCTAATTGCTGAAAAGCAAAAGGGTTGCCTTTTTTTTTTTTTTGTCTTAATTTACATTTTAACCCCTATTATTTTCTTTTCTTTTTTTCTTTGTCCTAGTTGCTAAAATAATTTCAAATAACCCTTAGACTTCTTATATTTTATGTTAAATTACAATCATACTTTATTAGTTGTCATGTTATCCACTACCCAATTTGGTTTAGCCCACTGTCCATAACATATTAGCCTACTAATCAAATTGAATATTAGCTCATTTATCCAATTATAAAATATTAATTAATTACTTAATTTTATTATTAATGTTATTATATATATAAAAAAATATTATATTATTTTAATTAGCCGTCTCCTCGCCGTACTCGTTACCTATATTTCGGAATTTTGTTGTATCCCTGTGTCCGTATCTTATCAGATACGGCACCCGTGTCCGTATCCGTGCTTTCTAGCTATAAAGGCTAGATCCTCATCCTTGGGTCTAGGTGGTGTTAAGGGGGAGATTTCAATATGGTGAGATGTGTCTGAAAAGTTATCAGCAAAAAAGAGAAGGAAAAATGTCGTGATTTTAATGCCTCGATTAGAGAAAATAGTTTGAGAGATTCAACTTTAGGTGATGCTCTCAACTCAAGAGAGACTATTGTTTGCAGTAGATTGGATGGGTCTTTGTCTTATCAAGATTGGAGGAGTGTTTTACTAAAGTAAGACTAGAAACACTTATCACTTGTTAGAGTTGCATTGGATCACTTTCCTATTATCCACCATTTGTGTACACTTTTAAACTTTTTATGAAATGGAAGGTTTGTCTTTTATAAAAAAATTAGGGGTAATCCGTGCCTGAAGACACGGTCTAACGTAAATTAATGTGAATTGTTTTGAGAGGGATATTGATGGTACTTGGATGAGTTTATTTGAGGCCGTTAGATAGACTTATTGAAGTCTGCCCCGGTTACTTCATACGTCTTAACTTTCCTAAAATTATTTATTTGTGTTCATAATGTTCTTTAGTTTGAACTTATTATCAGATTTATTTCCAGTTCCTATCTAAGGCTTGTAATGTTGTTATAGCTTGTTTAGGCGTATAGGAAATTGTTTGTAGGCACTTGAAACAAAGTAATAGAGGTCTTAGGCACCCACCACCAAGTCGTGTGGTTCAATGGTGCTTAGGGGATGACCATAACATTTCAAGGCCGGCATTTCTTATACAGTATTATGTCATGAGTGCTAGAAAATTCTAAATCTCCTTGTTCGATTCTAGTTGGATGACAAATATGCCTATTGGAAATATTGAGGGCAATTTATTTTGACGTTTCTTCCAAAAAATATTTCTTTGACAGTTGCAGATTATCTTCCAACCCCAACATTCGGGGCATAGTTGATCATTGGATTCTTCACTGTAGGTCCATGTAATCAATTTTGACGGTGCCTGGTTTGTTGATACTATAGTCTTTCGGAACTGGAGATGTTATCAGACTATAGAAGGTGAGCTCATGGAAAGACTTTCTCAGCATATGCCTCTTNAAAGAAGACGATATACCTGATAAGCCACAGCCACAACCATAGATCTCCTCCTCTTCGAGTAGGTATGTCGTCTTCATCTTTAGGTATCTCTTCAACCTCTCGCGCTCTTTCTCGCCCACCGCCTAAGCTTTGCGACTTCGTCTGCCTAACCCTAATTGCTGAAAAGCAAAAGGGTTGTCTTTTTTTTTTTCTTGTCTTAATTTACATTTTAACCCCTATTATTTTCTTTTCTTTTTTTCTTTGTCCTAGTTGCTAAAATAATTTCAAATAACCCTTAGACTTCTTATATTTTATGTTAAATTACAATCATACTTTATTAGTTGTCATGTTATCCACTACCCAATTTGGTTTAGCCCACTGTCCATAACATATTAGCCTACTAATCAAATTGAATATTAGCTCATTTGTCCAATTATAAAATATTAATTAATTACTCAATTTTATTATTAATGTTATTATATATATAAAAAAATATTATATTATTTTAATTAGCCGTCTCCTCGCCGTACTCGTTACCTATATTTCGGAATTTTGTTGTATCCCTGTGTCCGTATCTTATCAGATACGGCACCTGTGTCCGTATCCGTGCTTTCTAGCTATAAAGGCTAGATCCTCATCCTTGGGTCTAGGTGGTGTTAAGGGGGAGATTTCAATATGGTGAGATGTGTCTGAAAAGTTATCAGCAAAAAAGAGAAGGAAAAATGTCGTGATTTTAATGCCTCGATTAGAGAAAATAGTTTGAGAGATTCAACTTTAGGTGATGCTCTCAACTCAAGAGAGACTATTGTTTGCAGTAGATTGGATGGGTCTTTGTCTTATCAAGATTGGAGGAGTGTTTTACTAAAGTAAGACTAGAAACACTTATCACTTGTTAGAGTTGCATTGGATCACTTTCCTATTATCCACCATTTGTGTACACTTTTAAACTTTTTATGAAATGGAAGGTTTGTCTTTTATAAAAAAATTAGGGGTAATCCGTGCCTGAAGACACGGTCTAACGTAAATTAATGTGAATTGTTTTGAGAGGAATATTGATGGTACTTGGATGAGTTTATTTGAGGCCGTTAGATAGACTTATTGAAGTCTGCCCCGGTTTCTTCATACGTCTTAACTTTCCTAAAATTATTTATTTGTGTTCATAATGTTCTTTAGTTTGAACTTATTATCAGATTTATTTCCAGTTCCTATCTAAGGCTTGTAATGTTGTTATAGCTTGTTTAGGCGTATAGGAAATTGTTTGTAGGCACTTGAAACAAAGTAATAGAGGTCTTAGGCACCCACCACCAAGTCGTGTGGTTCAATGGTGCTTAGGGGATGACCATAACATTTCAAGGCCGGCATTTCTTATACAGTATTATGTCATGAGTGCTAGAAAATTCTAAATCTCCTTGTTCGATTCTAGTTGGATGACAAATATGCCTATTGGAAATATTGAGGGCAATTTATTTTGACGTTTCTTCCAAAAAATATTTCTTTGACAGTTGCAGATTATCTTCCAACCCCAACATTCGGGGCATAGTTGATCATTGGATTCTTCACTGTAGGTCCATGTAATCAATTTTGACGGTGCCTGGTTTGTTGATACTATAGTCTTTCGGAACTGGAGATGTTATCAGACTATAGAAGGTGAGCTCATGGAAAGACTTTCTCAGCATATGCCTCTGTTTTTGAATTAGAACTTAGAACATATTGAGGTCCTTTTAGCATCAGTTATGGACCTTGTGGTTCGCTTTGCTATGGAAGCTGCTTTTTGGGAGGCGATGAGAAGAATGCATACAATAGGGAGGGAGAGAGAGAGAGAGTCGAAAACATAAGCATCCATTCCTCTTGGCAGAATATATGTATGTAGTTATAGGGTAACACTGTAATGACCATAATAACCCTCACTAATATACTCATTAAACCATATAATCAGGTAGACTTGGTCTTAAATAAACAAAAAGCTCTTCAAAACAACTAGCACAAAATCTTGTAATGTTTCTTATGGAGCGAGGTTAAAAAAAAAAAAATTAAAAAAAGAATGGTGTTCGTAGCCTGTTGAATTTTTCCTCTATAACACATGAACACATAATGCAACATTCAGTATATGGCTCTATGTATATAATGATTCCTCAGAATTTTCCTGGCATCTATTAGTTGTAAAAACTAACAAAATTAAGGGCATTTCAGTGCACAAGATTCCCACCAGTGTGTGGTCTGGGAGTGGTCAGAATCGTCAGATGTACTCCAAATTTAAGGGACGGAAAGCTTAGAAACTAATACAGTCCTCCTATATTACCTTAAAAACTGGCAGTTTGTCATATTTACAGTTATATTGGCATACCTGAAATTATGTTATTGAGAAATCCAATTAGAAGGATTTTGTCCAACTTGATAGAATGTCACACTCTGGAACACCAAAAACTAGGTGCCCCTAAAATTCAGGTAGAATTCTGTTGCTTCATGCAGTTTTTAGACTGCAGATATCAAGACAGCAGAAAAGACTTCCAGATATGACAAATATATTTCCAGTTACGACCACATTAGATCCTTTCATCATAGTTGTATTTGGTAAGATAAACGATGTTTATAGGTGATACAGATGAATTAGCTCTTGGCGAAGCAAAAAATAATTTGAAAGGAAATAAAAGGGCAATGAGAGTAGCACCTAGTTGCTTAAATCTTGGACAACTTTATGGGATCTTGTATCATAAAAACCATTGTCGCATTACCGCAGAAGTGTTCTAAATGACCTGTAAATATCTAGAATTTGGGTTTCAAAATGTATTTTCGAACATTAGGCCAACCCCACTGTAACGGGACAAAATATGTTCTCTACAAGATTATCATGGTATTGTTTGTGCCTCGAAAGATGGTTGAAACAACGATCTTAAAGAATCTACAATGCATGTGCAGATTAATTCAATGCAAGAGTATAATGTAAAGAGCATATGCACTATTACTCTTTTAGTATTGCGTCAAGGAGCTTTTCATTGTGACCACACAACCTCTGCTTTTACATCAGTTCTCCAAAGCAGAGCAAAAGTGTCTGCTGATAAGTGACCTCAAAAACATTTTTTTCGCACCTACAAATTGGCCATGCGGTTTTATTGGTAGATGCCAACACCCAGAAAAGCACTCCTAACAAGATATAGTTCCCTGGAAACTTAATTCAAGTTCATTCGTCCATTTGGTGCTTCTGCAGAGCATGCTAGTCCAATTTGCAGGACTGAGACAATGCACCAAAGTATCTTCTCTCTCCCATGACTTGAACTTCGAACGTTTTACTTTCTTTTTTTCTGGTTATATCTCATTATCATCGTCACTGTGTTCCTCTTCTTCTGTTCCTGCTGCTGTGGTTGCTTTCTCTTTCCTTTCTAATGCTCCTTCTTGTGCAAGTAGTACTGGGTTCAGAATCTGTGGAACTTGTTTTGGCAATTGCCCTCGAAACATAATTATGGAGATTCAAACTATCTTTGAACCTATCATCTGTTGGTCTCCTCCCTGTGAACATTTCCAGCAAGAGGACTCCATAACTGTGCACATGCTCATTTGTTGGTGCGTTAACACCCGTTTTGCATTCTGCAATTCACACTGTTTAGGATGTTTTCTCTTTTGCACCTATGTAAAGTGTCTCCTATGACTTTGGCATACATGACATATTGAAAATGTTAAATATAATTAGGAAAAAAAATATGACAGTAGTGCACCAGTTTAGTGTCTGTTATATAGTCTAAGGTATATACCTAATATCAGTTCAGAGGAAAGGACAATGATTTCTGGAGGCCACAATTGCATTACTGAATTGCCTTTTTTCAATATTTGTGGATACTTAAACAGTTAAAACACTGCAGTACTTAATCACCAAGCCTCTCTTCTGAAATATAAGGCTATGTTAGTTTCATAGGTCATACACTAAAAATTTCTAAAGAACCTAATAAATGTTATATTTTTTAGCATGAGTTCAGTAAAGCAAATCCACCTTAATATTATTTGCCTGACAATGTTATTTATGTGTGTTAGAGTTAGTTTTTTAAATTAGACATAAGATAATTAGTCTAGGGTAATTAATCCTACACAAATAACAAATCAAAAAATACTGCTGAAGACTCGAAGGAAGAACATGTGAACAGTTTCTGCCGCTGACATCAGCAATTGGACAGTGACGTCAGCATCCCCTGGCAACCAAATTTCAGATCTAAGGTCGACCGATGATTATGAGTTTTACGGTGATTTTTGTTGAATTTTTTGAAGTCATCTGAGTAGCATCTCGAATTTTAGAATATTTTTGAGCCCATTTTTTCGATCTGCTGCTTGTTCTTCGACATTCAGTGGCTGGGTATGCACTTTCCTCTCATAGAGGGGTGTGACCAAGTGTTGGGGGTCTTCTTGTAGAGACCCATGGTTGTTTGTTGTGTGTGGGAGTTTTTTTGGTGGATTGAAGGCTTCAGCAGTGGGTTTAGTGCTTCAACAAAGGCCTCCTGTGCTTCGACAGAGGCTTGTTGTTGTTGGGTTGTTGATTTGTTTCTGTTCCTGTGCGGGGTTCCACTTCCGGTGCTTCGGCATAGTCTTTCTGTGCTTTGGCAAAAGCTTCTTTTGCATTCTGCTTCACCGTGAGTCTAGCTTCTATGGTTTATGTGTGAGTTGTGTTGGGTTGTTGATTGTTGGTTGTCCCTCTATGCGGGGTTCCACCGTGGATGCCCCTTGAGTGTTCTGTTTCCGACCAGTTCGCCTTAATGGTTCTTTTTTCTTTTTTTTCGGATTGTGGTTTTGTTTTTGTTTTTTTTCTGTTGGTTGATACGTATTTTGTTTACATGATGATGACTTTGAATGATGGCAAAAATTCTTTGGGTGAACCAGTTCGACAGGTTATCTCAGTAGATGATCAATTTCGACAGTGACGTTTGTCAAATTAAATGGAAGTAATTATCACTCATGGTCTCATGTTATCAAGGTTTTCCTTCGTGCCAAAAGGAAGGTCAAGTATTTAACCGAAAGTCCTCCTAAGACCCCCAATGGATTCTAAATATTGGTGAACTAAGAATTCCTTAGTGATGGCCTAGTTGTGGCTTAACATGGAACCTTTAGTAGCTTCTAATGTTTATCTTCTTTATACGACCAAAAAAATAAATATGGGACTCACTTGAGGAGATACTCCTAAGAACATAATGTGTCTCGGATTTATGAATTGTTTGAGCGAATGTTTAATACTAAGTAAGGTAACAAATCACTTGTTGAACATTATGGTACTTTGAAAGGGTTATGAGGAGAACTTTTATTTTATCAACCATTGAGTGCGGACTTGGACCTAGAGATCCAACAATGGCAACGTGAAGAGTTTCAGGTTATTTTATTCTTGTCTAGTCTTAATTCTGAATATGGGGTATTTAAAGATCAGATTTTAGTTAGTGAGAGATTTTCAACTGTTGCCAATACTTATTCAAGTCTTTAGAGAGCTTTTTTGACTCGTGAAACTCCTATATCCTTCTAGGAGTCATCTACTTTATTTTTTAGTGATGGTAGTCATGGCGGTAATCGTGGAGGTAGTCTTAGTGGTGGTGGTGGTGGTCCATTCCCAGGTGTTAATCTTGGTGGTAGAGATAATGGTCATAGAGGTCATGTGGTCGTAATGGTCATGGCAATCGTTCTGAGTGGAAGTGTTCTTATTATGGAGTTATGGGCCACACTAAGGATAACTGTTGAGATAAATATGGAAGACCGGTCCATGCTAATTAGGTTTTTAATAACCCGACTCCTTCTGTATCTTAGTCGTTGACTGGTGGGCATGATACATTTACGTTTGGCTTTCATGATGATCTCATTTCTTAGCCCAGTCAGCAGTTGTCTTCGCTCTTTCTAGCAGTTGTTGGTTTGGCCATTGTAGGTAATTTTGCAAATGGGGCAACCTAATTAGTTTCACCATCTTAGATTATTGATTCAGGAGCTAGTGCACACATGTTTGGTATTTCGTCCTGGTTTTCTAATTTTCGTTCTTCTAACTCTTGTATTTTGTTAGTTGACGGTACTTTTAGTATGTGGGACTGGTGATTTTCATCTTACTGAATCCATGTCATTAGCATTTGGTTTATTTATTTCTTAGTTTCTTTTTAATTTGTTATCTGTAAATCAGTTTACCAAGTCTGTAAAGTGTTCACCGAGTGTTCTTTAGGACATTTAGACCAAGAAGGTGATTGGTTTGGGTATGAGCGGAATGGATTTTAGTATTTGAATTCCAGAGCAGCAGTTCCAGCATTGAGTGCTACCATATCTTCTCTCTAGTGGCATTTTCGATTGTGTCATCTGCCACTGCCAATGCTTCGTTAAGTCATTCTGTTATGTTAAAATGTGAGGCTTATCAATTAGTTAAGTATCATTGTAGTTCTTTTTTGTAGTACAAGTTGTCAATCTATTTCTTTTTCTTTTCTATTGTTCACTTTGACATTTGGGGTCCTTTCAGAATAAAAAGTATTTTTGGATTTTATTATTTTGTAATCTATGTAGATGATGTTCTCATATAACTTGGTTATTTCTTATGAATTTTCCTTGTTCGGTTAAGTGTGTCTTTCTAGGCTACTCTCGTACTCAGAAAGGTTGTCGCTGTTATGACCCAGTCTCTTGTCGATATTATGTCAATGCCGATGTCACCTTCTTTGAGTTATCTTCTTCTTTCTTTACTTCAGGAACTACCATTTTTCTAGATTTGATCTCTATTAGTCGGGGGCAGGTCATGTTACCTTGTGTACCTAATTGTCTCTTTCCTTCATCTTCGTTTTCTAACCCCTCATTGTAGATTTACCATCGTTAATTCGTTATACAGACAAACAGGTTGTTTTGTATGCTCCGGCCACCACATGATTCTAATGAGGTCCTTTCTTCTGAGATGCCTACTGTATCATTATTTTCTAATTTGCCTATTACACTATGAAAAGATACTTGTACTTGTACTCAAAATTCCACTCTAATTTTATCTTTTTGCATCATCAGCTCTCTTTATCCTTTCGTTGTTTTGTATCGGCCTTGTCTTCTGTCTTTGTTTCTAGTTCTTTAAAACAGGCATTAACATGTCCCGGATNGGTTAAGTGTGTCTTTCTAGGCTACTCTCGTACTCAGAAAGGTTGTCGCTGTTATGACCCAGCCTCTTGTCGATATTATGTCAATGCCGATGTCACTTTCTTTGAGTTATCTTCTTCTTTCTTTACTTCAGGAACTACCATTTTTCTAGATTTGATCTCTATTAGTCGGGGGCAGGTCATGTTACCTTGTGTACCTAATTGTCTCTTTCCTTCATCTTCGTTTTCTAACCCCTCATTGTAGATTTACCATCGTTAATTCGTTACACAGACAAACAGGCTGTTTTGTATGCTCCGGCCACCACATGATTCTAATGAGGTCCTTTCTTCTGAGATGCCTACTGTATCATTATTTTCTAATTTGCCTATTACACTATGAAAAGATACTTGTACTTGTACTCAAAATTCCACTCTAATTTTATCTTTTTGCATCATCAGCTCTCTTTATCCTTTCGTTGTTTTGTATCGGCCTTGTCTTCTGTCTTTGTTTCTAGTTCTTTAAAACAGGCATTAACATGTCCCGGATGGAAACTGGCTATGGATGAAAAAATTAAGATACTTTATGAAAATCATACTTGGGACCTTACTTCTCTTTCGTCTGGGAAGCAACCAGTCAGTTGTCGTTGAGTTTACACTGTGAACTGTTGCATTTAGTTCTGATTGGCCCTTATATCAACTGGATATAAAGAATGCCTTCTTACACAGAGGTCTACAAGAGGTCTATATGATTCAACCCCTAGGTTATGTTCTTTTAGACCAGGTACAATTAGTGTGCCATTTGAATAAAGCATTATATGACTTGAAATAGTCACCACGTGTTTGGTTTGATAAATTCAATACTGTGGTACTTCAGTTTGGGTTTTAACGTTCTACTTCAGATCAGTTAATTTTCATTCGGTGAGTTTTCACTGGCATTATTATTGTTATTGTGTATGTCGATGCCATCATTATCAGTGGTAATGACTCAGATGGTATTGCCAACTTCAAGGCGTATTTGGGGAATCAGTTTCATGCCAAAGACTTAGAGGCCTTCTTCGGTAATTCCTAAGGTTAAAGGTTGCTCGATCAAAGGAAGGTATCAATCTATACTAGACTTACTATCTGAAATTGGGACTCTTGGTGCACGTCCAATGGATACACGTATGGACTCTACAGGTAAGTTAGATCCTAAGATTGGTGAAGTATTTGATGATATAGGGCGTTATTGAAGGTTGGTTGGTAAGCTAATTTACCTTACAGTTACACGTTTTGATATTACATATATTGTTGGTGTGGTTAGTCAATTATGCATGCTTCTCATAAACCTCATTGGGAGGTTGTCTGTCGTATACTTCGATATCTGAAAGAAGCTTCGGGGATTGGATTTTATACAGTCCATCATCATTCATAAATGTTATTGGTCTTTCAAATGCTGGGCTGGTAGTCATGGTGATAGACTATCTACTTCTGGTTATTGTATATTTGTTAGTGGTAACCTTGTTACGTGATACAACAAGAACCACTTGGCGCAACAAGAAGCAGAATGTGGTTGCACGTTCTAGTCCAGAGGCCGAGTATCGAGCGATGGCACACACTGCTTGTGAGATGTTATGAATCCGCTTTTTACTTCGTGCTATGGGTNCAGAATGTGGTTGCACGTTCTAGTCCAGAGGCCGAGTATCGAGCGATGGCACACACTGCTTGTGAGATGTTATGAATCCGCTTTTTACTTCGTGATATGGGATTTGA